AATCTATTTCTGCCTCTGATTAAAACAACGGTACAGGGTTTTGGTATCCATAAGCATTGAGTCTGCCCTGACATTTTTTTGCCAGCGAACCTTAGAGAATAAGGTAGATATTTTCCTGCAGCTGTTGTAGATATCTTTTCAGTTTTGAAAGTGAAATACATGAATGCAGTTCATCACTTAAAATATCTCAATTAAGTTGCCTCTTAGCCCACCTTCAAAGTAGAGTCCTGTAACTTGCTATTGGATCCTTCCCTGAGAGGTCCATGTTACTTGTATGCTCATGATTCAGAAGACCATAGTGCTTCAGCACGGTGTCTCACAAATGTTAAAGTCAGATGATGACTATTGATATATCCAGTGGTTTTGTCAGTTCATGTCTCAGTGGCATGAAATAAGAGACGGGTGACACGGGGAAAAAAGAACCTGTTCTCCATCTGTGTGCAAGGCACATCAGAGGGAAAGTAACCTAGCAGCCGATTAGGTTAAAGAATGACATACTGTGCAAAATGGAATTCTAACGTTCAAAAGTGTCTGCTAAATAACTGTATTATTTAACAAGCTAATCATGGTTCTTTGCTTCCAAACATGACCAATGAACTGTTCTGCCTGAGGAGATTGCAATGTGGTAGCAATAACCAACCTGTTACCACAGTGCCTTGGTACTGCCCAGTTGCTGAATACATCCTTTATCATGTAATTGCATTTCAACTGTTCCTAAAAACAAATGTGTTTGACCACGTGATCATAAAAAGAAAAATTAAGCTTAAATGTTGTTCCTCCTTTTAGTTGGTAAGCAGAATGTCTTTTAACTTGGTACCTTGGAGAGGAAGCTGTAGGATTAGATCACATTGCTTTGCTGCCAAGCGCACCTTCCGCATTCCCTTTTGCACTCCTTATTTTCCACAGGGGAAAACTGATTGAATAACAATGTGTACTCCCTGCTCTGTAATAGAGGAGGAAGATGGCTCAGAGAATTGGGGATCTAAAGGTGGATTACAATGGCTAAAATCAGGAATGACTGAGGCAGAAATACCAACAGGACTTCTTGGGTTGAGAGTTAAGGGGGGTCACCTTACAAAGCTGGGGAGTTCCAGAGATGATAACTGGAGCTAGCTACTGTTCTAGAAATGCATGAAATGACAGGGTTCTGAGGTGGTGGATGCAACAACAGAAGGCTGCAAGAAACAGGCAAAGCATAGTAATAAGAGCAAAAGGTAATCAATAAAGTCTTGGGAAGCAGGTTCTACCAGGTTTTGTCATTGATCTGTTATGTGGAATCTGCAGTTACTAGTTTCATCCCAGTAATCTGGCTTCTTCCTACTTCAGTTGGTACTTGGGTTTGGTACTCTTAAAACTTTTGGTGGTTTCATCAGTAGAAATATGTTTTAAGTAGTAGTCATGGCGGGCTAAAATGCGGGACTTTTCACTGATCTTACTAAAAAAGTGTTTGACGTACTTGCTTTGAAATGCAGAAGTGAATCCAATTAAAGATGTGTATTGCCTGTATGTAGGGCATGGGAGAAGTGCAGATGGAAGGACACCGAACATGACAGTCTGTTTGAGTATGTCCTAAAAAGATTCATAGAACAATCCAGTTTAGACTAAGTATCTATCTTAATGTAATTAGGTATAGAAGGATGTTGGGGGATGTCTGTGGTGTCTCTAACAAATCAGTATTTTACAGCTTTATAAGACAAATGGATATTGGACATAGCTATTGCAGTAACTGGTAGTGCATGTTTTTGCGAAGGTAAAGTGATTAACTGATTGACATGCATTCATGTCTTTCAGAAGATGGGACTAAGATCATGTTCCAAGTTCCTTACAGAAGGCTGCGTTAGATCTATAAGCATAGTGCTAAAGACACACGTAAGCAGAATGCCTTATATTTGAGTATGCTATATGCTCAAGTGGTTTTGAGGGACAAAACAAAGCAGATCAGATAGTATACAGCAGTTAAATTTCCTTTTCCTGGCTGACTCCATGGCTCTGTCCGTATTTAGCTTGCATGGGTGGCATCCAGATTAGCTTGGCATGGGCATAAACTGCATGGAGTTACTGAGCCTTATTTGTACTGTACTTCTCCAGAGGTGTCACTAGAATTTCAGGGTTGTGTCCTTGTGTTTTGCTTTGCTTTGGATGCAGTATGTTTGATTCTCTGATGCTTCATGAGAGAAAAAGAGGGAAGTAATTTGGATGGAGCAGGCATTGGGACCTGCTTGAAGGCAGAAAATGTCAAGCAGTCAATTTACCCTGTTTGCAATGAGAATATTGGTTAAGTTGTCAACCTGAGTGAAAGTTTGCTTGGACTTTACCCTCCAAACTTTGAGCTGCCTAGTCCAAGTGGGTAGGGGATCACAAATAAACTTGTGATAAGTTTGTACATAGGGAACATTGGTAAAGTTCTTCCAAACGTCTTCCAAAGAAAGGTGTGGGATTTTTTGTGTGTTGTTTTTGTTTTGTTTTCCCAATGAGTTGATAGTGCCATAAGATGGTGTCATAGTATGGTCTGGATACTAAAGAGCTACTGAAGTCTGCTGCTACTTTTGAAAAAGTACTGCACTTTTGGTGTGAACCAGGTCTTCTGTCTTGAAGGATGTTAGCCTGACGTAACACTTTAAGGTAACTGTTTTGTATGTTGTTGTTTTGGTTTAAATTAGTTTTTAACAAGTGTATACTGCTGTAGAGATACAGTTTTTTGGTATAGGAAAATTTGATTGTTTTTTATTTTCACATAGCTGTCAATACATTAAGTGATACTTTCTTGTATTTTCTAGTGTATCACAGCAGTATGTTCCTAGTTTTTCATGTTTTACTCCCAATAGCCTGTGGAATTGAATAGCTGCGGAATTGATTTGGGGGGCTTTGGGGAAGTAAAGGTGCTAAGACTGACTTCCTTTCAGTTTGGCCCTCAAATAGCAAGAAAGCATTGTGGAATAGTGAGCCTTTATGCTGGAGAAGGAAGGAAGATCGTAGGGAATGTATACAGAATTTCCTTGTTGACTCGTGCATCTGATCTGAGGCAGGAAATAAAATGTTACAGATGTCCTCAAACAGTCAAACTGGAAGTTTTGGGTAGCTGTTGAAATGGCTACATTGAAGTCAGCTGATTTCATTGTAGTCTACAGCATGGAGAAGGCATCGCTTTTAGCTTTCCAGAAGCGCTGTGCTCTTCTGAGCTTTATAATGTCTTTTCTGCCCGTGTAGGAATTGCTAAATATCTTTTCTCAAGCTTCTGTTTGGAAGAACAAATTATTACCGAGTTGGAGGTTTATTGACTTGAGTTTGTAACTCCGGCAGGTGCTGCAGGAGTTACTATATAATCCTTGCTTAAGGTAAATTCAGTTGCTTTCTTGAAAGCACTGGTAAAGACTGAAAGGTAGTGTGGTAAGTGGAAAGCTAGATTAGAATTTAAAAAACTGTCCCAAGTAGTAAATTTTGTAGTTTATTTCCAGTTTAATGCTGCAAATAGTGTTTTATTATTAACGCTTCTGTCTTCTCAGTGTTGGAGTCTATTTTCCTCTTTCACCATGGAACATATACATGAACTGCTATTTGATCTGGTAGATCAGATTAAACCCCAAACAAGCAGTAACATTTCTAGAAATAGCTTGGTGGCAAACATTAAAAGCAGGCATTACAAAATGAATAGAAATTCGTCCTTAGTATATTTGTTTTATTTGCATATGTGTTGTCCTCTCTTTCCTAACATAAGTTACTGAGTAATGAATAGTGTTATTTCATGTGTTTCTGTTTAGGAAAAAAAAAAAAAAACATTGCCTCATTTGTTTTCTGCCTTTTTTTTTTTTCTTAAATTGGAGAAACACTATTTCTGTCCTACCACTTTGTATTTCCATTCCTTAAACACTACCTGTAAAATAAAACTTCCTGTTACTTTTGTAAAACCCCTTGTTTATAAAGTTTTTGCAGAACCTGCTCCCCGTACACAGAGTAGGAGAAGTAGTGTAGTGGCAGGTTTATTAACATTTAGCTGAGTAGTTACAGCCATATATACATCTGTTGTCCTAGGTGTATTTGAGGGTGGAAAACAGGATAGGTGCTGTGTCTTCCTGCTGCTGTGAGCACTGCAGTGAGGAACAGGGGTGGATGTTTCCATTCTCTGGTTTCTGTCATAAAATAGCAAGAGGAGAGAGAAAATACTGTGTCTTGGCTTATTCTAAGGTCTGATATGAGTAGACAGCAACAGCAAGTCTTCCACCTGCTTTCACTGCAGTCCTTGAGCACAAATCCATAGGAGGAGCTCGGGAGCAGGTAAAATAGCAGCATCTTAACTGGCTTGCAGATCAAAGCTGTGGATGATCTCTATCTGATGTTTACATAGTAGAGTGGGAAAGAGCTTATGCTGGCCTCTGCCATGGAAGGAAGAAGCCCCCTTGGGAGGGAGACATGCTATTTAGGTTTTTGCTTTCTTTCAGACCTGTCTGCAAGATGTTAAAAAACTTAAATTTTATGGGCAGGTGCTGAAGCCCATTAGCAGTTTTTAAATTTCCTGTCCCTTCGTGGCACTTCTGTTGAAGGTCAGGCGAGTCTGAGGACTCAGAAGTAAAGATCAGTAGTCCTAACATCTTGGGGTAAGTATCAGCCACTCCTCTGATGGGCTTGCTTTCTTACCAACTGCTGTTGAGATCCAAAGTTGGTATGGTGAAGGTTAGTGTTGAAGAGGTTAAGGGAATTAAATACTTACGTGTTGTTTCAGGAAAAGTGCATTATCTTTCAAATGCAGCCAACGTTCATAGAATTGTTCTACTTATTTCCTTATTTGTTTGTGTTTAAGTAGATGTGCAACTTCTGCCTTTTTTTTTTCCTTCCCTCACCCACTGTGTTCTTTCTGTGTTCTTTGTGCTGTCATTGTATAGGTGTCTCTTTGCTTTTTACAATTAGTGTGGAAATCTGGAAGTGTGGTGTATTCTAAGTGTGCAGCAATTGTGAATTTGTATTGAGATACAGCCTAATAACTTACATGCTGTTTTGATCTTTAGTATGTATTGAATTCAGTATTTTGTGTATTTCAGACGATAAAAAAGATATTGACCATGAAACAGTGGTGGAAGAGCAGATCATTGGAGAGAATTCTCCTCCAGATTACTCAGAGTACATGACAGGGAAGAAACTTCCTCCTGGTGGAATACCTGGCATTGACCTCTCAGACCCCAAGCAACTGGCTGAATTTGCTAGGTAAGTAGGAAGAAAGGATTTTTAAACTAAAACAGTTTTCTTTTCACTGGTTTAATTATGAAATAGTTAGGCAAAAGAAGTGGTAGATTTAGTGTGGCTTATTGTTCAATTGAATCATCTTCTAAAACAAGGGACTTAATTCAGAATAGAGTAGCTGATAACTGTGTTAAAATAACTGGGGTTTATGTTCAGCAGTGACTTCTTCAGTGACTTCTGGTCTTCAGTTTCTGTTCGGTAAGACAGGACCTAAATATATTGATATATTACGTCTTTGACATGACAGAATGTATCTTTCATGTGAGTAGCCTTAGATTCTTCAGCATCAAAGAATCCAGTAAGTGAAATGCTGATTTCAGGTTGTTCATTACAAGAAAGCTTAGGCTACAATATTTAGTTTGTAAAGCCACTTACTGTTCCTTTTGACCTGCTGCTTCTTAAGCTCTAGGTCTTAAACTTCTTTTTAATGCCATCGTGCGTCTTGCACTTTCAAGTGCCACTGATAATTGCAGTTTCACAATTGGTAACTATACTGCTTGTATTTTCCTCTAGTGAATCAGAATTGTCGCTCGTTTACATGTCAATACATTGACCTGAGTTACAAGGTGACTTTTACTTTCAAATAGAGGGAAGCTCCATTCGAGGGGGGAAGTACTGCAAGTGTCATGTGTCTCTTCCCTCCTCCCTCCGCAGAACCCCTGGCTCTGGTACCGAGCGCTCAGGGCAGCCGGTGACCACCAGAGGGCAACCGTGAGGTCACCAGAGAAGTCTGCTGTGGCACCTGGAAGCTGTGACATCCGGGCTGCCTTTGCAGCGTTTACTTGGTCCCCTTCTTTGTGTGCCTGTGCTTGTCATTACCAAAGGCATACTCCTCCACTCAGTGCATGGGCCGAGTTAATGCTGGAGTCTCCAAATATTTGAGCACAGCTGTTAGCTTCCTGCAGCTGCTGTTACCAGTTTTTCCCATGTTGAAAGCAATATGTATGTATTGAAACTATACTTGGTTTCATTTTGTTAGCAGCTGGCTATTCTTCAGAGTTCTGGTGCGTGATTCTGACACTCAGAGCAGGTGGATGATCAGATGTTGTTACTCTTACTTCCTGGGTCAGCTAGTAGAGGAAGAAGTATGCTTTTGGGTTTTGTGTGTTTTGGGGGTTTATTGTGGTGTTTTGGTTTTTTGTTTGTTTGTTTGGTTGGTTGGTTTTTTTTTGTTTTTTTTTTTTTTCCTTTTTACCACCACTGGGTTTTTCAGCTAGTTGCTAGATGGCAGGGACTGTTGAGACAAGTTCTGGTCTGGCTTGGTTAAGTGGATCTTGGTATCCAGTGTGCACGTCTACTTTTGGTTCACCTTTTTGATCTTGCTGCTTTTTACAAGCTTTTTCTGTTACTCTTCAGTGTGTTTGTACGGTAGGATTGCCAGCAAAGCCTTGTCCCACAATTATTTTCAGTAAAGCCATTGCACTGTAGATTTTGAAGGCTCCTAGTAAGATGATTTTGATGGACTTGCTCCCTGTTTCAGACTGTATATCTGGAAATGCATAAAAACACACTGTGAACAACTAAAACGAGGGTTCTAAAGTGGTGGGTGGTTCTAGCTATTGATACTACTGTTACTTGTTTTACTATTTTTGATCAAAATGATTGCGTTTACTTCTGAGACCTGCTGAAAGGTTAATACAATTTTTTCTGAAAACAAATGTTTAAGTGATAATCTTGAGTGCACATAGCGTCGTAGTTCTAAAATGTTACTTACACATTTCTGCTCATCATGTGCTTAGAATGGTACTCTCAGTTTAAAACATGCTGAAACCTTTGGTTCTATTAAACATTTATGTACTGACTAGCTCTCTTTTGTTAGCAAGTTTAAATAGTTTCTCATAGGATATTCTCCATGCAAATACTGAGTATTTTTCTCCACGTTAGTTTGAATACTTGAAATGGTTGCCAGGATTTAGGCTTCCTGAAATAACCAGATTGCTTCTATCAGATCTGTCTGCATATTTCTTAAAATTGTAAAATGTGCTGCAAATGTGGATTTTAGTTAGTTTTCTGTTGAGAAAATAGTGGCAGCTGGCAGTAATTTAAAATTGCTGCTTTTTTTATTCATGGTAGAATGATCTAGGAAGTTCTAGAGCTAGAATTTGTAGGAGGTTATGGAAAGATTGAGTTCTATGTGTACAGCCTGTTTTCTCTTAATATATTTCTGTACAGCAGATAAAAGGTGATCCACTTCAGTCATAAGACAAATATACGGTGGTAGAGTAAGCAACTTGGGTGGACATCACCTTTAGCAATATCCTCAAGTTGCTCAAAACCTATGAAGAATTGTTCTGATAGTTTAATTGTAGATACATGAAAAATTCAAGCATCTTCTGTTTTAAGAACAGTTTTCTGATTTCTTGGCCAGAGTTGATGACTGTCAAACTTCTATTCTTGCCTTAAAAAAAAAAAAAAAAAAGAAAATGAAGAAAACTGTGTTAGTTGTGTGCAAGATCTTAAATGATTGTGTATGGCTGAGGCTGAAAAATATAGGTGTACTAGAATTTGAATATTCTTATTAAGATCTTCGTCCTCTTGCAGTGAAGCATGTCCCTGGCATGAGGGGACTCCTTTCAGCTAATAACATGAGTTCAAGCACTGATATCTACACACCTGGTTTTATACTGATCAGTTGTCTTGTTGATCTACATGGCTGTGTGCACCATCACTAGGAACCTTGCATGGCAACTGGAAGAAAAAACTGCGTTTACATGTACTGGAATTGGGTTTGGATGTCCTAGGAATACAGTTGTTCATGCTAAAAGAATGTGTTTATTTAGTGTAAAGTTCTCTGAAAGTTTCAAGCATTCCTGGTTGCTTTGCCATTCAGAATTTTGAAATTCTCAGCAGCTGTTTTCTGAAAACTTTGAGCAGCACGTGAAGTTGAAACTGTTACTTTTAAACTTCTTAAGTAGCTTCACATGCTGTGAGTAAGGTTTTAAATAACAAATTTGCATTTTGATGACTTGGATAAAGAATTGTGCACAGTCCACATATAAGGAAGCATGAACTGGCTAGTAAAATTTTATGCTAAGTATATTTTGTGCAGTTGAGAGGAAGTTATTTTCGGTTACTTTCCTGTTTTCGTTAAAGTAGTTGAAAGAATCTCGCTATACATTTGTAGAAATCAGCTACTCAAAACGAGGCTAAATCCACTGTTGATAACCATGCAGCTTATGTTAAGGGGACATTTGAATCGATTCTTAGGAACAAAGTTCTGAGGTAAAGTTTAAATGGGCAAAGCTTGAAATCTGGCGGTAACAGATTTCGGGCAAGGTTCTGGAGATCTGATCACGATCTGGTTAGTGAGAGGTAAGGTGAGGTGGACTTGGTGCTTGAAGTACTCTCTACCTCAGCAGCTTTTTTTTTTTTTTTTTTTAAACTGTAGTAATTCAGCATCTGCGATGGACAGCACTGCTGCTCAGCAGCTAGGTGGCACTGGCAGAGCGAGCAGTTACAGCATCTCTTGCGATACAGTTGTCTTTCACCACTTTTTTCTTTTTTTTTTTTTCTTCTTTTTTTTTTTTAAACTGCATTTGTCACTGAGTCATGTAGCAGGAATCCAGATCCTTTAACTGGAACTCTTAACAGTTTTTCCTGGGAAGGTTTTTATACATTCTAAAACTATTGAAAACACTGTGAATAAACAAGCTGTCTCAGAACATGAAGACGTGTTCAGTAACGCATTGACAAATGACCATAAATTGTACCTGGTTGGGTCATTTGCTGCCTTTTACAAATTATTTCATTTTAGTGTAGGACTTGTGTATTTTCGCTAGTATGCTTTAAAAATTCAATTAAAAAAAGAAAAAAATGTGGATTTCTCTTAGGCATTCATATCAGAATATGAAACGTTAGTTGTGAATTACCTACTCAGAAAGAAAGAAAACCTAAGAAGTTACCATGTTCCCGTTTGATACCTTTGACTGGGACACTGGAAATCCCTTCAAGTGAAATAAAATGTTTCATCATAGTCTAAATTGATTACAAGTAATTCTGTAGTTAACTGTGAAGAACTACTTGGTAATAAAAGCTTGGGGAAGTAGCAGACATATTTCTAGTTGGTGCATATGGCAAATTTCTTCAAGGCAAACCACTAAAAAGGATATCCCTGATTGCCCTCTCCCTCACTCTTGCCCTCCAGACAGATACATGACTGAACTGACTAACGACAGCAGAATACAGGCATCAGTAAAACTAAGAAATAAGAGAGGAATATGCAATAGCTGGGAAATTTGCACCGTAATGGGTCCTAATGGTAAAAACTTTACTTTCCATGGGTTTATCTTCTGCTGTTCTTAGTACCTTCTCTGAAGGAGAGCTATTGTGAGGACTGCCCTTCCTTTCTATCCACTTTCCAAAACGGATGGAAAACAAAGGAGAGGAAACTGCATTAGAGTTTGAAATCAGACACCCTTCTTAAAAGTGACAAAGCATTCTGGTCACCTAGATTTATGACTTGGGCCTCTTTGTAAGGTGTATGCTTTTGTATTGGTTTTGTTCTTGTTACAGAGAAGCTTAAAGAGCAGTAAACTGACAATTACTTTACCCAAAATGTTCTTCTAGGGTGAGGGGAAATCTCTTGCTCTGTAGCACACTGCAAAGGTCACACTCTCTGTTTATGCGTATGATGTTCTTCATAACTGGAGCCAAATTAGTAATTATTTTTGCCAGAATCTGTGAGTGAAAAAACTTTTTCTTTATGACATTTTCTTACCTAACTGTGACTTAAGCATGGTAAGACAGTGGCTGTGGGCCCTTTGGTTGTCGATAGGTTCCTGGGACACCTTGTGCCACTCCCCTTTTGTCTATTTATCCAAAAGCCAGTCTAGCCAGTTTCAGGAGCTCTTCAGCACAAATGAAGTCTTGCAGCAGCATAGGACCATGATACTCAAGCTATTTCTGCCTCAGCAGGGCAATACAAGAGGGATGGCGGAGTGAGGGAACTGATCAGAAGTGGCAGTGACACTGCTGATAGAGAGTAATTTCCCTCTCTTCTAACTATTCTTAGGGACGTGGTCATCAGCACAGATGAATATCGCTGCTGGTCATCAGAGACCTCTAGGATGTGTCAAAGGAGTTGCCTGAGAGAGAGTAGTGCTGTTTAGGTTAGATTTATGTACAGAGGAAGAAGAAAGGATTTGAGAACACAGAAGTTTAACAGAGGGGAAAAAAGGGAGATGATGGAACAAAGGGGAAATCCTATACTGTTATTTGTTTTTTGACTTACGGATTTCCTTTAGCTTTAACACTGTTTCTGTGGCTAACTTTTAAAATTGGATCTATCTACAAGATAATAGGTTGGAGAGATTGACAAAATTTTGGGGGTAGGGATTGGTTCTGTCAAGGTACAGTTCTTTCAGTTCAACTGGGTAGATGAAAGGAGGTAGTTAGCCATTACTTTCTGATATTTCGGTGACAGACTTTCTTTATTTTGAGGAAGTGAGTGGTTTAATACCTGTGACTTCACTGGATCTTCTTTATGCATGAGTAAGAGAGTGTGCTTTTATGGAGCTCATTCAGTGAGGCTGTTGGGTTCTACACTTTCCTGCTCCCTCTGCTGTCCCCTATTCCCTCTCTCCACTCCCCCTCTATTCAAGTTAACAAACTTAGCCTTTAATTGCAGTGTCCCAGTGTGAGGATCCAAAAAGTATACTTGCTAGTTTTTCGCAGTTAGGTAGTCTGCAGTTGCTACTACTAGGCATGGCCCATACAAACTCATTGCAGAAATGAAAATTCTGGTCTTGTCATGTAAATTGACTTTCTGCAAAGGCAGCCATTTCAGAAGTTCCACCCAGGTATTAATGTGTGTGTCTGTAGTTGTTTTAAATAGTAGTATGTGTTAGAGTTCTGTTTTTGATTAATGTTTCAGGCTAAGAAAACTTGGACGGAGCTGGTAGAGATGCTCTACTGGGTGGGAGACAAAAATCTAACCACCAGCAAGAGCTACCTGCAACAGTGTAATTAAGATCAACAGCCCAGATTCTAGTCTGGTCTCCTTTTGCAGAAAGTTAATTTTAAAGTAAGACCAAAATCTTTTTTCTAATACATTTGAATACATAAGTCTTTAAATTCTTCTTTGAGTGATTGTCCACATGGATTCCACAGCCTTGTGAGCAAGATGACGTTTTTGACAAAATGATCTGTTGTAGCTGCGCCTGTGGTGTATCTGCCCTCATGCCTTTAATCCAAGTGTACAAAGGGCTCGGCAGCTTCTTGCTGCCTGTGGCACCGAGATAGAACCTGGACACTCTTTGCTACCTCTTCCTGTTGAAGTGTCTGCTTCTGTTTTGTTGAGTAGCTTGGTTGCCTGTGGAACCCTATGCTTATACACAGTCTTGTTCCGTGTTTTAAGCTTAAATTGCCCTTTTCCCGTACCTCCAGGAGAAATGAAGAGATTGAAAATCTGTCCCATTATTAGCTAAACCTTCTTGTAATTTTGTAGTCAATAAGGACTAAATGTTTTTATGTTCAAGGATACTGCTTGGCTGGTGCGCCTCACTTTAGAAACAGTTTGAAAATTAAAAAGTCTGCTTATTCCAGAATGGATGCTCATAATGTTACATGCCTGCTCAGACACTGAACTGAAAAATGTAAGGTGTATGTTGGACCTCCAGCCTGTCCCATGTCTGACCATCCAGTTCAGCTGCAATTGGTTCCTCAAGCTTCCTGACAACACTCACTCATCTAGAAGCATCCTGCCGACACTGGCCGGGATATTTTCCCCTCTCACTCTACTTCAGCAGCCTGTTACAGATGATACTGTTGCAGCATTTCTTTCTCAAAGATTGACTTAATACCAAAGGCAAGACACGAAAGTTACAAATAGGATTTAACACCATGATCAGTGGGATCTTATGCCAAATGTAAAAAATGTAGGTGCTGCCCACTAAAGCTATTTACCACATCTCTTCTTAATCATTCCTTTTCTGTCTAATCTCTCCCTTACAGGAGGTCAATTAAGACTTCAGAACAATAGTGATTTTACTCATTCTCATGACATCACGAACACAGATCTTGGGCTTAGGAGTTTTTTTGCTTTGTTTTTTGGGGCTGGAGGAATGACTCAGCCAACATTTAACAAGTTTTAGAGTTAGAAGTAAAGGAGGTGGTTTTGATACCAGCTTTGTCCCCTAGGGGTGTTTGTTTTCCAATGGCATTAAACCATGGCACTGTGTTCTCTCATGTCCTGTCTTGTCAAAGCATTCTTTTCTGTATCCATTTTGACATAACAGGTGCTCATTTCTGTGCCTCTTCCTTTTGTAAAAATCATAGAGATATGAGAATCCCATGCAAAGGATAGTTGAAAACTTTTGTGTGTGTGTTTTCCTATAGGCTCGGTACCTGTAGTAATACCAGTCTAGAACCTCACCGGAGAGTGTAGTCGGTCAGTTAATCCCAATCACTTGTTTGGATTTAGGTATTTAATACTTTACTCAAGCTGCATAAACTAAATGCAGCACAATCATTCTATATTCTAATTGGATTATATAAATTTAATCTAATCAATAAGATCATCTAAATTGGTCTGTAATCTTGGAAAAAGAAAAGTTATCAGGAAGATTAAGATAATAAAGAGGCTAGTCTACAGGAACAGATACAGTTTGCTGTGTTCAGGATGTTTCTGCCCTTAAATTGATGAAATGTTTAGGTATGCTGCTGACAATGGTGCAAGAGGAGCTTTGTCAGCACAAATACCTCACATCTGTCTTCTGCAAGCTGTTAATATCTGTAAATGAGGGGATTGTTGGAGATGATACTCTCCAGCTTCCATATTTTTGTCGCATCTGTATTTTTAACTATGCAGGAGACTGCAGTGTTCTTCAGTTAGCACTGTATATATTCAATGTGGAGATGCTGAGCCAGGAGGAGTTTTCTAAGCGTCTACTTAGAGAAAAGAACAAACACAGCCTCTAAATCTTTGGGTTTTAATGTTATGTCTGCGAAGTGGCTAACTGTCAAGTGCTTTAGTCTCTATTTGATCACTTGAACTGTGCTACATCTGCAGTACTGAGATGAGTTAGATTGTTTGAGGGACAAATGATAGCCCAAAGAGCCATAGGAGACTTCTCCATCACGTATGACTCCATGGGCAGTTGTAAGGAAATTTTCCTGGAACCAGTCTTCAGGACTTCCCAGGGAGGTTTTTCACTGCTCTTGCCTTAATTCAGCCTCACGAGGCCTTTCATTGCTGTTCTCTTTCACCTGTCCACATGAAGGAGGCAGGTGAAACAGTAGATTTCAGCCATATGCATAGGAATGTGACAGTACCAAAGAAGGCTGGACCCCTCCTGCAAAGAAACAAGTGCTTATGTGGTCACAATGGAGGGATTGTAGCTTATTTTTCCTACAGCTCTTGGGAATTGTTTTGAACATTTAGAAGTTGGTTTAGCCAGTCTCAGATCAATTACTAAAAATGCATGTAAAAAAAAAAACATGTGTGCACTTACCCTCAACCCTTTTCTTCCATATTCTGTTTCCAGGAACTGAACTCATGGGGATTAAAACTGTCTTGGATAGCCACAGACTCCTCTCCTTCTTAACATTAAGAATGGTGATTCTAATAATTCTAATTCTTTTGTTAAATCCAAGCCACTCTTCTCTGTTTAATTGAGAGTAGAGAGAGTACACCAGAAAACCTTTCATTTAACTTAAAGATATGTTATGTAGCTACCTTGTCATACAGAACTATATTTTACTGTAATACCAGGAAAGGTCATTCAGGAACTCACATAAACAGATTAGCTCCCCTTCTACAGCAAGGTTTTGGAATGCACAAAAATATCATTACTTATCCAAGTGAATTTCCAGCTGTATGAGGTGCATTTATTTACACCTACCTACCTCCACCATAAGGTGGAGACAAGCCATTTTTTTTTGATTTTTTTTTTTCTCTTTTTTTCTTTTTTTTTCTTTGAAGACTGCAGTACAGGTTTGAGAAATAGAGGTAAAAGCGCAGTGCACTTGCCCGGAATATTGTCCACACAGCTGACTTGTCTCTGACATTTGGACAGGTTGTTACGGCAGGAGTGTTCTAACATTGTTTTCTACGTGGAGTCTTATATTTGTACCACGTAACACATGCAAGCAATAGTTTGCTGGGCTCTTTATGTAGTCAGTGGAGACTAATGGCACTCATAAAGTAGTGGTGAAGATCCCTATCAGCAACCAGGAGTAAATAGATGATTGCTTATCAGTTGTCAAGAGTGGAATCCATGTGTACTGTAGCTTAAAGTAAGAATAATTTCTGTTTCTGTGGTTACAATGGATGTCTACATTGTCTGTGTAGATTCTGCAACTTGCCTGCCTTCCCTGCCCCTGTGGAGTTTTCTTCTGAAGTCTTGTGTGGTGAAAATACTGAAGAATGATTGAATCTACTCTGTCCTTCATATCCCGGTGCAGGGAGGGAGAGAAAGTGAAGATAAATAGGCCACATGGGTACTGGCACAACAAAACCAGACTTTTCAAACAAAACCTCCTAATTACAATTAGTATAAGTCAGGAAAAAAGTCTCTGTTTCTACATATTCAAAGAACTAGGAAGGTAGTATTAAATGTCTTATTCTGTATTTGAGAAGTTCTTTTGGAAAAGCTGAACTTTCTAAATGCCAAGTTATACTGTTAATATTATTATGAAGGTTTTGAAAATATTAAACTGAGTACTACTGATGCACGTAATACTATTGAATAAATGTGCGCATTATGTAGGCAGTTTCGGGAGAAGAGCTGCCTACTAATGTTTTTCTGCTATTTTTTTTTCTTTAAGAATGAAACCAAGAAAAATTAAAGAAGATGATGCTCCACGAACGATAGCTTGTCCTCACAAAGTAAGTGAAGTGCTCAGCTTCCAAGTAGGTAGTAATTGTAGACCAGAATTTTGTATTGATGTTTTCTCTTGAGAATGAATAACTGAAATATCTTACTGTTAATAGACTACACTCAGTTAACTGTATTTTAGTTACTATTCTTTAGAGGCTTCCTTAAAAACCTTTCACTGAATAATATATTATTCCCGTTCCTTGTCTTAAGGTTAGTGCATCCCTAATCTTCTGGTAACCATGATGCACAGTCCCTAACATGCTGGTTTTACTGTTGTGATTTCCTGCCACCCAAGAATACATACTTGAAAGAATGTTCTGAAAGCTGTTCAAAGTACGTTCTTAAGATCTATATATCCTCTGCTTGGAAACTATGACGGATTTGGAGTCTAGATCAGGAATCAGCAATTTATGGTGCAGATGCCAAAGTCAGCATTATTGGAAGACTTTGAATTACATTCCACAGAGCTGGAAGGTGCATCATCTTGAAAGAGAGAGAGAGGCATCTTGGAGATATGATTCTGACCCACTGGTAGCGGGGAAGCCTCTGTCTTGAATAAATGTTGCCAGTCACCTAGATTGGTAGCATCTACCTTTACTGCATTATCCAGCTTTTGTAGAGCTTCTGTTAGCTGACTTAGTCTGTAATGAAAAAAGGCAAATACAATCTTGCTGACTTCTGGTCTAGATAAGTGTGAGCCTAAGCAAATAATCAGAGCAGATAGCTAATAGTACACGTTAGAGAGCATGAATAGAAGGTTTCTTTCTGACAGGCATAGTCTAAGGAATTTGCTGGATTCCTCTCTGCTTATATTGATTTCTAATTCTTCACATTCTACAAGTGTCATGTTTTTATTGTTGTATAGTATGTGGAGATACAGGAACGGTTACTTCTTACAATACTGAGGAAGGCTGCCTTCATTTCTTTGATTTACTTTTTCATAGCCTCAACTTCATCTGAACAGGGAAAAAAAAAAGAATTTTCTGTCCTTCCATTTTCTGTCTTCTAGGGTTTCTAGGCTTTGTGCATTAATGACTTCAACTTAAAAAAGAAAAATAGTGTAGAAGATGTAAGTGCTCCTGTCAGAGGCAGGCGGGGACTTTGAAATAAATGCAAAAAAAGTTGATTGTTTATTTCGATGCTGTTTTGCCCCATCCAGTTCTTGTACATGCAATGGATGGTGGCATAACACTTCTTAAACTAGCCAAAGAAATTCTAGTGCCTGAAAAGAGAACTCTTCCTGAAAGTGGCATTTCCCCCTTTTTTAAGAAATAAGGCATATTTAAAATGAGGTTATTAGTTTTGAAAAAAAAAAATTTCCAAAGAGGAACCCTGCAGAATTTAAGATTAGCAATTTAATGTTCCTTTAAGTTCTGTTGTTGAATTTTATGCCTGATAACACAGTGATGTTGGTAGACTAGTTTTATGTAAGTTTAAACAGCATCACTTGGAGTACACATGGAATTTGCAGTTGTTAATAGGATTTTATGAGAGAGTTTGAACCTTGAGAAGACGCGTATAAAACATATGATAGATGTCTATTGTCACTAAAAGGTGGGAAAAAAGGTATAGAAAGATTAGGTAAAGAGAGCCCCAGGTCGCTGCTGCCTTAATTGTACTCTGGAATCAAAAGTAGTATTCCTGTGTAGATGCAGCATGGACCCCAGATTGAGACTTCTGATGCTGTACCTGAGTTAATGTGAGTATCTTTTGCTTTTAGGTTGAGTTGGCAGTAACTTGGAGATTCTCCTATCTTGCTCAGTTGCCCAGTGTCACTTTTGTAGGTTTGAACTGTAGAATCAGTGGCAATCTTTTTGTATCTCAAGATGATAGTGATCAATCTGCTGCTGCTGGTTTGGACAAGGTAGTTTCTGTAAGCTGTTAGGTGCTGGAAACCCTCTTGCTCCATTTTTTTCTCAGGAATGAGAAGGAAGAGAACAGAATGTTGGGAGGTGAAGTGGTGCACGTACAAATTGGTATTGGAGAATAATTTGTGGTATATTAGAGACTAGATTGTATATTGTAGTACTGTAGTATTGAAGATATAGCACATTGAAGAATATACCATAGGTATCCATGAACTATCATTCTGTCTGTTTTCGGTTGTTTTTTTTTTTCCCTGAAACTAAATGCTTTTGTTTGGTTTATTCATTTGCTTCTGTCAGAGCTGCATCTTCTCCATGAGACTGTCCTATTATTCGTTTGACTGCACATGGTTCATGATACTCAGTGAGGAGGGGGTTTGGGGGTTTTTTGTTTGGGATTGCGGGTTTGGGGTTTTTTCTTTTTGTCAGCTTTTTCAAATGATTAGTTTTCTTGGTATTGCTTTTTTTAAAGAAATGTAAGTGGTCTCCTTTTCAGGGCCAACTTTTAAGAAAGTATTCAGGATATAAAAGCATTTCAAATGCTTGTACTGTAGCAGATAAAACCTTCTTTATCAGAACTAGCTTATCTACTAATTGAGTTTCACTGTTCTTTTTAAGGGCTGCACAAAGATGTTCAGGGACAACTCCGCCATGAGGAAGCACCTGCACACTCATGGCCCTCGAGTACACGTATGTGCAGAATGTGGCAAGGCCTTTGTGGAGAGCTCAAAACTAAAGCGACATCAGCTAGTTCATACTGGAGAGAAACCCTTTCAGGTATTGTTAACCTTTGGACATTAACTACCCCAATTTATTAGGTGAACATGTGTAGACTGTAACTGTAACCTAGCTTCCATATGACTTTGGGGATACTATGTTCTTTCTAAAATCAGATGAGGCACTGAATGATCACTTTAAAAATTGGAAACCCCTTTAAGCTAATTAGGCTGTTGTTTAACTATTTCCCTGGGCTTTTGTTAGAAATTAGCGAATTGTATGTACATGGGAGATACCTTCCAAAATACCATGTAAAGTTACCCACTTCAAAAATGAAGTCTGCAGTTACTACTAAATGAGGAAAATGTCTCTCTCTCCTCGTCTTTTTCACTTAGCACTTGTGGACAGCTGAGACTCAGGACTGTTTGCCTGGTTGACTCATGATACTAATTTTTGGTAGTGGATGTTAATCAGTTTTTTAGCAAAATCATGATAGTCACTGAGTCCGTTTCCATTCATATCAAGTCATGTGAGCTTCTGCCACCAAAGGTCCCCTGCCTACTTCATATGATACTCCTTATAAATCTTTACAGGTATTCTTAGTCTTGAGCATATCTGTGTTCTCCAGTACACGTTTAAGATATGTTATTTTTTTTGTTAATTTTTTTAAAAATAAATTATTTCAGAAACTTAATTTGCAGTCCTCAGGCATTCATTTAGATGTGTATGCTGGATCTGCTGTGTGGTAAATATAAGTATTTACTGCTAAACATGCTGCCCTTTGTATTCCAAGCCCATCTTGAAAGTAAAGCTGGTAAAATGAGCAAATCTTTGCAAATTATCACTGAAAGGGGGAGATTCTGATGTGAAATGTTGTTTCTGTTTTCTAGTCCAGTATAGCAAAATGCTGTTTCAGATGCAGAGGTGTTTCAGTGAAAGCATTTGCTTGCTAGCTGGAAGTTATTTCCCTCTTTGAAAATAGATTCACTACTGTGGTAAAACAACCTGAAGCATTCACTTTATTTTTTTTTTAACACAGTTTATAAGTGATACCCACAGCTTCACCTATAATAATCTTCAGTATCTAGCTTCATGTTTGTGCAGTCTAGTGATTTAAAGAAGAGTATCATTCTAATCAATGATTGAAATGAGTACTGTTTTGTTAGCTAACGGAGAACGTCTTTTCCTTTCAACAGTGTACGTTTGAAGGATGTGGAAAGCGTTTTTCACTGGACTTCAATTTACGCACACATGTGCGAATTCATACTGGCGACAGGCCCTATGTTTGCCCATTTGACGGCTGCAATAAGAAGTTTGCGCAATCAACTAACCTGAAATCTCACATCTTAACACACGCTAAGGCCAAAAACAACCAGTGAAAGTTGGAGGAGAAAATTATTGAACTCAAAGCATCTTACAGGAGTATGAATTGGAAATAAATATGCCTCCCCTTTGTATATTGTTTCTAGGAAAGAATTTTAAAAAAAGAACCCTACAAACCTAAAGGACGTGTTTTGATAAGTAGTAAATAAAAAGCGAAAAAAAAACCACAAAAAAAACTTTAAGGTGACGTTGCTAAGATGCCCTGCCTTGCTCTGTAATCCCGTTTCAAGAACACGGTGTTTTGTAAAATGTGGCCCCAACCGGAGGGGTCAGTTCATGAACCTGCATCAAAAAAAGACAATTCTTTATACAACAGTGCTAAAATTGGACTTCTTTTCACATTCTTATAAATATGAAGCTCACCTGTTGCTTACAATTTTTTTAATTTTGTATTTTCCAAGTGTGCATATTGTACACTTTTTGGGGATATGCGTAGTAATGCTATGTGTGATTTTTCTGGAGGTTGATAACTTGCTTGCGGTAGATTTTCTTTAAAAGAATGGGCAGTTACATGCATACTTCAAAAGTATTTTCCTGTAAAGAAAAAAGTTATATAGGTTTTGTTTGCTATCTTAATTTTGGTTGTATTCTTTGATGTTAACACATTTTGTATAATTGTATCGTATAGCTGTAATGAAATCATGTAGTATCAAATATTAGATGTGATTTAATAGTGTTAATCAATTTAAACCCATTTTAGTCACTTTTTTTGGAGAAATACTGCCAGATGCTGATGTTCAGTGTAATTTCTTTGCCTGTTCAGTTACGGAAAGTGGTGCTCAGTTGTAGAATGTATTGTACAGGCACTGACCTTTTATTAACACCTGATAATATGTACATCCCATGTAATAGAAAGGGCAACAATAAAACAGTGGTCCTAAAGAAAGAATATGGCAGAAAATGATCTGTAAGCACAGTCTATTTTATTTTGTTGTCCAGAGCAGTCCTAGTTCCTCTTGACCTTCCAGAAATTGGAAGCTAAATAAACGCAAGTTTCCTTTACTTTGCATTCAATTACAATGATTTGTGATGACATTGCCTATTGCCATGTCAGGTAGTATACCTAAACAGAATTGCTGACTGTAATTCTGGTTTTAAGTGACCCAACTTCCATTAACTGGAATGGTGGATTTGGAGACTTGGCAGTGTAGTGGGGAGTTTTCGGTGTGCCTGGACAGCAACTAGGTAAAACAGTACAGTAAATAACTAAATGGCCACCTTTGCTTAGTCAGGGTAAGGAATCTTGGAGGTTTAAACGCATAACAATAGAAAGTGGGTGCACAGTAGGGTTTGAGTGGTCGTACCAGAAAAAAAGAAAATGGTCCTGTTTTTTTGGCTAATTTGTTTGAATTACGATAATGATGCAAGTTCTTGGAACCTCATTGGACACCTTTTACTTCAAAATAGGAACTCAAGAGTTCTCAGAGAACTTAATGGAGTTTTCATAGTATAACTAAAAGTGGTTACTACTCGTTTGTTCAAGTGTTCAGAGTAAGAAATTTGCAGATACTATAGTAAAATGTGATGGATTAATAAACATAAGAATATGCACAGAAATGCATAAGTATTATTTTTTAGAGGGATGTGACGTATTTTAATATAGTAAAAACTGTTGTTAATCTTTTTCTGAATTCTGTTCTTACAAGGTTCATCAAATTTTTTATTGCTAATACCATAGAACTTACTTTTGAATCCAGTTTTGGTGGTAGTGGAAAAAACATGGGTAATAATGAAACTGCGCTTAAGACCAAGGGCATTTTCATCCATACGAATTTAAATCTGAACACTGCAGCTCTAGTCTGAAGTCATTAGAGGTAGAAGGAAAGATGGGGCATTTAATTGTAAAGTATGCATTGGAATTTTGGCAGTATTTTTTTTTTTTTTAATATAAGCAGTTCTTGAACAGGACAATATACTGAAACTTGTATAGTTAAATTAAATTCTGTATACAGTTAAACTAGTGTCTGTTCTTTTTGGAAGAAAATAAAATCAATTCAGTCTAGTTCTAATTGACCTTACATTTTTTTCTTAAACATTATGTATGATGGTGTTAGGCTTGTGCAGAAGTTTGCTTCCCTATGTCATCAGTGATAGCCATTTTATTGAATTGCAAGGTAAAGAGATTCCTTGATGGTGTCAGTACTTCATCCTTGGACATACATTTGAGACTAAATTATTTAGGTTAAATATTGATTTGAGGATTAACTAGGAGCTGAACTTATGTTCCTCGTAGTTATATTGCATCTGATTACGGAGAGAGATGAAAAAATTTAATCTAGGCCTCAAATCAGTAGCATTCAATACACTTCCAGGTGTAAGTAGCAACACTTAGTAGCATGAAAGATCTTGCTTTGTAACTAGTTAATCCATATTGAGTATGAATAAATACTTGCATTGAGCAGCTTCTCTAAGTTATTTAAGCTTTTAAAGTATAATTGGCACATCTTGTTCTTAAAACATCATGCTTAGTTGATTGCAGAGTTACTCTCTTGGATTTTCAGTGAAGAAGTTGCAGGCTTTGAGAATAGGAACAGAGTTGACTTTGAAACCACCATTGCCAGCCTACTATCAACAAGTTCCTGCATTATACCACCAATTTGTGAGCAAGTTCAGGTAAGGGGAGGAGAGCCTGAGAGGTGGGGGAAATGTAGCCAGTGGTTTTAAAGCTGGCAAAAGATTTAGGTGCTTTTACTCATCATGCCTGTTCTACTGCTCATTTGATCTTAAAATTCATAGTACCTTATCTGGTTCACCTGCTGTTGAAATGGAAGGAAGCAAATTCTGTAGCTGTGTGTCTTTTGGATTCAGACCATTTTTTAAAAGGTAGAACTGACTATGGACTCTTCTAGCTGTGTCTGTTTGTGGTGTGCCAGTAGCAGTAGGTCCTGCTTTAAGTACAAGACAAACTGAACTTAAATACCTATTACTTTTGGAGATTGTTTTTCTTGAAAAGGTGGTAGGAGGAGCCCAGGTACAGATTTGAAATGCTAAGTGAATAAATAAATTTTTAATGAAACAAAATGCCAGCATCTCAGCTGAACTTGCAGTTGATTTTTAGTTGTCTTTTTTAAGAGGTTCACTGTTGAATTGAAGTAGTGCAATTTGACATTTTTTTTCCCCAGCCGTAGTGGCCATATATTGTCAGTCAATAAAGCCAAATACTAAACAAATTCTAACCACATAGCTTGTCAGCAGTAATGTAGTTTTAAAGGCAGATGAAGATCCTTTCCCTCTGCTGATTCCACAGTAAGTAAAAAGCAAAAGAAGCAATAGTTAACAGAAATGGCAAAATTTTTGAGGCTTTAAAATGTTTGAGGAAAGCTAATCCCTTCAAAGTGCTTGATGAAGAGGAATGGCAGTGGTGATCCAAGGTGTTTCCACTTGGTCATCACCTGCCCTAAGGTGCTCACAGGATATTTGATCACTGTATGTCTTGGACAAACTGAGACTGATCAGTGTTTCTACTCAGTTAAGATGGACAAACTCAAGGACAGTATGTGCTGAATAGTGTTCTTCAAAACGCAGTTCCTTAATGCCTTGAAGAAACGGAGAAAAATTGGTATTTTTGTCAGGGCTGGTAGACAAATTGGTCTTGGAAGTCTAATCAGGCAAGCGGCAGCTGTTCCTGGCATTGGTTGATCCAGTTGTTCTGTAATCGTGGCACTTTGGAATAATAAGTTTTTTGTCTTTACAGCACCTTTCTTAAGTCTGTGTTACAGTGACTTGAGAGGAGGAGGGAAGTAAACAATGTTTGTGTCAGCATTAAGCTTTGACTTCTTAGTAACTGCACTAATGTTCCTGTATTGCTTAAAGCTATGGAGAAATCAAAGGTACTTCAAAACCTTCAGAACTTGGGGTGGATTTGAAAACTGAATGTTGGGTGTAAATTCTGCAGGTGGGAATAAAAATAAAAGCTGGACTTCGGGCTGGTATGCTTATTTGTAGCTGTGTAAATGGAATAGTTAAAAAAAGTAGCACTTTCCTTGGATGGAGTGAAAAGGTTTCTTGGATCAGCCTGATCTGGCAGTCCCGGGGCAAAAGCATGGGAAAGTGACGTGGGGAAGAGGATGTGAGGCCCCCACTGTAGAGCACAAGAAGCAGAAGCATCTACACAGTGATCTGTAAAGGTACAAACAAATTGGAGGGGGAATGTATGTGTCTGTATTATGAGACTCAGTATTCATTTTGATCATACGAATTGATCTGGTATCAAGTTGCAGAAGCAGCATAGCTTGCAGATGGCTTTACAGCAATGCCTAAATGCCACCTGGATGGCTACAGGCTTCATTTTCTAAGGTAATTTAATCAGTGGTCCTTTACTCAATTTCATTCTCTTTGCCTAAAACAAACCAGCTTAGGCAAGTTTATGTGTCTTGATAATCACCCTCTATTATTAAGGCAGTTTTGCTTAGAATGTTTTTCAGCCCCTTTGTTTCTCTGGAAGTAGTCTGGAGAATATTGAATTTCCTTTTCGAGAAAGCACATCAGATTCAGTGTAGGAGTTCTTGGGAATTTTTCAGGTCCTGGCTTCCCCTAAAGTAGCAGAAAAACACTGTTTTACTGTAGGTAAATGAGTAAGATTACTTAGAGCAACTGGTTTTAGGCAACTCCAGTTTTAGGGAGTTCTGTTATTTTTTTCCAACAGGAAAGCTTTAAGATTGGTTGCTGGTTGGGTATCAGTCCTTCTGTTGTGTGTTACGGTGTGGACATAATATCCTTCTTGTGAGCTGTTGTTCTTACCAAGTTCCTGTGTAAACTGGAAGCTCTCTTCAGCAGCAAGCCTGAAGTTCTGTAGAAATGTTGGTCAATTTTGGGAAGGAGGGAAAAGGACGAATTTTCTGTGGAGTCCTTGCAGGACTTTTGGATGCTTCTCCTGCCACCACTTAATATTAAAATGTTCTTGTAGATTTAAGCGCGATTTCTCCCTAATCAGGCTGCTAGCATCTATGTCAATGCTTTATTTCAGTCTGTACAGATACTCCTGAATAGCAGTTTGCCAGGAGATGGCAGTGAATTACCAGTTTATACAGCATGACCAGCAGACAGAATAGCAAAGTGTCAGGGTGCCCCTATGAGGTCAAGTGTGTGTAGGGTGTCCTGCGGTGTTCAGCAGACCTTGACAGACTTGGAACGTGCCAGTGTCAAAGAACAAGTTTCCTACACACCAGTGCGGAAGAATAAGAAGTACAACTCTGCTGATTCTTCTGAGAGTCCCAAGCATACTTGTGCATTCATAAAAAGCACCAGCAAGGCAATGAAAATAAAGACTGTAAATAAAAGCTGCTGAGTGTGACATGGATTAAATATTTTTAGAGGATCCATACATCCAGTATTAATATCAAATATCTTTAAAGAGAAATGTGGAAGTCTAATGATGTGTAGTGTTAGAGTATTTCAACTGTAAGTGGCTATTTTGGTTAGCTGATAGACATATGAAACACCAGTGCTTCACTCCAGCAGTGGCTTCCTAAAAAGCCTAAGCTCACCTGAGGCAGACAGGGCCTTGCCATTTGAATTTCCTTCAGTGTGTTGCTGCTCATGTTTGCAAGGCCGTTGCAGAGACTGCAGGATAGATGTTGCATCAGAGTCCTCCATTGCTGCTCTTTAGGGAATTGAATCATAGAATCATTGTTGTTGGAAGAGACCTCAAAGATCATCAAGTCCAACCGTATACCAGATGCCACCATGCCCGCTAAGCTCACTAAACCATGTCTTGAAGCGCTACATCTAAACGTTTTTTGAACACCTCCAGGGATGGTGACTCCACCACCCTATCAAGTAAACCGGTTCTCTCTCTGGAGCAGGCCAACAGTAACGGTGTATTTCAGAAGGATGCTCTTTGTGAGTAACAGGTATATTTTTGAGATAAATCATAGAGCACATAAAAACTAAGGCATAAGATGGGCTCCTTGATAAATAGTGGAAAATCCATACACAAAGAAGCTTGATGACCCGATATGTCCTAATGTACTTCAGCTAGAGCTCATCAGCAATCGGTTGCAAGACAAATCTGTAGAAAAGTCTGTCTTAGTGTTTTGATTTAAGGGCTCATAAAGTCAGGTATCCTTCAGAGCTGCAAGAT